CTCTGGCTCAGGCTGGTCTGGAAATCTGGAGCTCAGGCAATCTACCCACCTCAGCCTCCCAAGTGCTGGGATTACAGGCGTGAGCCACTGTGCCTGACCCCTTATATTTCTATTAGATAGCACTGGCCTAGCTTTTCTAGGGAGATCACTCATAGCTCTAGGGGGGCATGCTGGGAATGATATGTCCCTAGAATAGAGAATGCTAGGAGCAACTGTGTGCTTAAAGGAAGACATGCTGGGAATAGTAAAGACTTTACATTAGGTATGCTATGGGGAGCTTCTCCCAGAAAGATGCTAAGAGTGACTGTGCAACCACAGAGCAGAACATGCTAGGAGCCCTTGTACTCTCAGAGCCATACATGCTGGGAGGAAGCCCTCCTGGGGAGATCAGGCCATGCAGAACATGTTGGAAATGACCTTTTTTTTTTGAGACAGAGTCTCAAGCTGTCACCCTGGGTAGAGTGCTGTGGTGTCACAGCTCACAGCAACCTCAAGCTCTTGGGCTTGAGCGATTCTTTTGCCTCAGCCTCCCAAGTACCTGGTACTACAGGGTCCCGGCTATTTTTTGGTTGTAGTTGTCATTGTTGTTTGGCATGCCCAGGCCAGATTCAAACCTGCCAGGCCAGATTCAAACCTGCCAGCTCCAGTGTATATAGCTGGCACAGAGCCAGAAATGACCCATTTTAACAGCTGGACATGAAGAGAACTGTCCTGGGAAACCCGACCAGAGGGTGGGAAGGAGTGACCACACCCTGGGAGCAGTACATGCTGGGAGCACCAGGCCTCTGGGCAGAACATGCTCAGAGGGACCACAGGGCTGGCCAGAGGGGTCAGGTGGGAGGCTGGTACCTGTCCTTGCCCGTCTCACCCCGGAAGAGGTCGTCAAATTGACGCATACGGGTAGGAGAGACGGCGTAGGCTTCCATGTTTGGGAATGCCAGGCCTGCCCGCTGGATGACACGCACAAGGCTGCCCTGGGGCTTCTGCATCTTGCTTGGGGGGCCCCAGAAGATGAACACGGTTTCAGGGGTCCGGTTAACGAACTCCTGGGGCCTCCGCAGCACCCGGAATACACTGGAATGAGCCACCACTCGGAAGGTGGTCTTGTTGCCCACATCAGCTGAGTAGCCCGTGGTAGGTGCATCATTCATGCGGATCGTACACTCAGCTCGCTCAATCTCCGGGCCCAGCTTGGTGCCCAGCAGGTGGCTGGAGCTGCTGATAATCACACACTGGTGGCAGCGGGAAGGCAGCGTCTGGGGGACAAGGAAAGTCAACATTATCACAGCTACTTAGTGATGAGCCCTGTACTCCATACATCCAGGTCCCAGGAGCCAGGAATTATTATGCCCACTCTAAAGACAGAAGGTAAACCCCACACATTTAACATACAACAAGCATTTCTAGCAAGTGGACTAATGGCCAAGTACTTAGGATAGAGCAATGAGTAAGACAGACTCAGATTCTGCCTTCAAGAAACTCAGTCGGGGAGATGGAAAAGAATGTAATACATGCCAGGAAAAATATAAAATAGGGGCAGGTGATCAAGAGAGACTGAAGCAGAGCCTACTTTAGAAAGGTTGCCTGGGGAGACCTCCTTGATCTGAGACCTAGAGGCTGAGAAAGAACCACCTGGAAGAACATATTCAAGGCAGGAGAAAACCCCAGAAATACATGATTCTGAGGTGGGAACAGAGGTTTGCATGTTGAAAGCCAAAGGAAGGGAGTTCAGAGTCAACAAGCCAGAGAACAGAAGGTCACACAGCTGGAGAAGTGCAGTGCCAGGATTTGAACCCAGGTCTTTGTGATCACAGATTCCCCAGTCCTCAAAGAGGACATCTTTGTAAATGCACCCAAGGTGTGTTCCAGAAATGAGATAGCACCTTACTATTAAGGAAGGGTGAAAGCCATTCTGGGGCTCCATTTCTCTACTCTGGCGCTGTTTCTTCCCAGGTGAAATGAATGGGTTAGAACCACATGCTCTCTGGAGTCTAATTTTTGCCCATAGTATTCCCAGTTACCCTTCAAGGCTAAGCTCAAATGCCACCTCCTCCAGCAGGCTTCTCTGAGCCCTTACTCCAAGGTCCAGCAACAAGTCCCACATACACTGACTGGCAATATTTCCCACTTCCTGATCTCTCCTCTGGCTTCCCCTATAAGGCTGAAAGCACGAAAAGCCTGTCTCTGTTTCATTCCTTCCCACATCACCCACACACAAGCTGTTCCACTTTTCTTCCTCTTTTAAAGGTTCTTAGTGTAGAGAAAGATTCAATTAGGTGTTTTTCTGTCCCTAAACACTTCCTAATGGGCCCTCTTCAGTGAGGGTTATGTCTAGAGCCCTTGGCCTTGTGTGTGCCAAGGCCTAAAGAAAATATAGGAGGGTTGGTGAGAAAAGAGAGTACTAAAGAGTGAACCCCAGAAATTCAACCTGAATTTCATGGCTACCCAAGGGAAACATAAGTCCCCAGGAAAGACTTTTCGCCTCTCTATATAGCTGCAACTTAGCAGAGGTTGGGAAAATACCCTGTATCCTTCCCCTCCTTGCTGTGTGGCTATGGACAAGTGACTTCACCTCTCTGAGCCTTGGTTACCCCATCTCTTCAAGAGAAAAATTAATGCTGACCTCACAGGATTTTTTTGAGGATTACTAGTGTCCACAGTGCCCGGCACATGGCAGGCCCTCGATAAAGGGCAGCTGTTATTAGTGCTGCTTTTGTGTTGTCAAGTACCTGCATCCTGCTCTCAAGCCCATTCAGATTCTCCAGCAGAGACAGAAGGCAGTGAAAATCAGAGATACATTTCCAAAGGGATTCTGACTTAAGAGATGGTAGGATAATAGCACTAAAGTTAGGGCCTTAGAGAGAATTGAGGGGTAGAGAGGGATAGGATACTTTACCAAGGTAGCAGAGCCAGCAAGGGGATGAAATGATGGGGGAGCCAGGGCCTAGACTCCTGGGGTCCACCTTTCCTTTAGGAGGGCTGGGAGTGGTGGAGAAAAGAAATGGTGAAGAAGAAGGAGGGAGCAGCGATGGTGGGCAGTGGGCAGGATCTGCCACCAGGCACTTCCGGGGAGCTTCCCAAAGGGGCTGCTCTACCTTGTTGCCAAGGATGGGAACATAGCCATCAGTGATACTCCACTTCTTGAGGTTGACAGGCCGGCGCATGCGGCCCCGCAGGGAGCCATAATGGAAGACCTCATTGCCACTGTTGGAGCTGTAGAGGATGAGGATGGTGATGAGGGCAAAGAGGATCACGAACACTGCTGACCGCTGCTCCTGGAAAGGGGAGAGGCCAGTGAGGGCCCAGCTGCCCAGCAGACTCAGTATCAGCTGCCCCACCATCTTGGTACCCACCATCCCTTGCTAATGCTTAGCCTTTGTTCCAGACCAGTTTAGGTACTATCTCCTTCAGGAAGGCCTCCTTCAGCCCCCTCATTTCCCTCCATTACAACACTAACTGATCATACTGCAGTCAATCTGCCATCCCTCTAATTAGAACATGAGCTCTGAGGACTGAGGCTTAGTCAGCCTCACACCTCACTGTATCCCAGATCCTAGGGCAGGGCCTGGAACACAGAAGGTTCTTGGGGTGGGAGATGGTATTGCTGGACTGGATTGGATATGTGAGTAAGGATTCCCTACAGCTGCAGCTAAGAATAGAGACAGACAGGACATCTAAGTGACAGGGCCCAGGTCTCCCCCCAACAATAATTCCCCATAAGTTATTGACATTTTGCCTATCAGCTCCAAGTTTATACCCTTTGTGTCTGTTCCATGGAAATAGATCTGGGGTCTTTAAATATTTCTCCTTACTAATTAGCTGCATATTAATCTTTGTCAGAAGAGGGTGCCAAAAAGATATTGCACTAGGAAAGGCATTTGCTTCCTGGTTCTGGTAGGCTTGCTAGGGAGGCTCGTGCAGTGCACATGGTTTCTCTAATGAGGGCATCTTCTTCAGTGTCCAGAGGCCAGCAGTGCTAGTAGCTAGCAGTACCCAGCAGCTTCCTCAGGCATCTTGCCCCAGACACGATGCCTCTGGCTCCTGCTGTAATCACAACTTCTCCCAAGTCCAGCTCCTGCAGTGCACTCAACCCTTTACTGCATCAAGAGGCCAGAAGTTTCCCCTTCCCTGGGCCAGTTTTGTATTGGAGCCACCCAAGGGGACACAGACATGCCCTCTTCAGCAAGGCCTGAATCTCAGCCCTCATGGTAGTGGGGAGGGTCTGCTCCTTATATCCACTAATCCTGTATTCCTTAGAGTTCTAATCACTTGTCATTCCATTGGCCTATTATAGTTAATAAGGCTTTGTGTTAAACTTTTCCTGTTGAATTACCGTGTGGCTTTTCTTTCCTGATTAGACCCAAACTAACACAACTCACCCATCCCACCTCCAAACCTCAGGTTCTGCCAAGGGTGCACTGGATCCTAGGGAAGGAGTGTGCAGGGCCAGGCACAAAGTAGGTAAATGAATGAATGTTGGGGAATCCCCACCTCCTCAAGGTGATGCTCACTTTGTATCACCTTTGACTCTGACCACTGCCCCCCGCTTACCTCCTGCTATCCTTCACCTTCCCCACCCTCAGCACTCCACAGTCATCTTGGCACAGACAGACCGGTCAAGCCTAGGGAGAACAGAACTGACCCTGGGCCCAGACACAGGCAGGAGCCTGCCTCAAGCCACTTAGCAGATTTATGGCTAAAGTGTGCCTTATACCTGGGCCTCCTAGGCATCAGATGCTCCTCAGTGTGAAGGAGAGACACACTCATGGTGGCGTGGCTCTTAGGCAGGTCCAAAGGAGCCCATTCCAATAGGGAAGTAAGGACTTCAAATGGGATAAGAAATGAAGGGGAACTTACTTTGTTGTTACTCATCTCTTTCTGGTGTCTGCTGAGGGGTAGGGGTCGGCGTCCTGCAGATGGCCCTGGGGGCAGGTATGTGGGGTCACACCTGCAAGCCACCAGAAAGGGTTATGACCTGGGCATCCTCCTCTGGATTCAGCTGGTCAAATGCTACATTCTCTATACTCCCTACTAGCTCTCCTTCACACCCAGAACATTAAAGCTCTGGGCCATATCCACTTTGCAAATGGAGACACTGAGGTCCAGATAGGGCAGGAATCTGCTTGAGGTCACACAGCTTGGTGGTGGCAGAACCCTGCACCTGTTCCTGCCCATTCTTCCCTCCCTGAGCAGGAGCAAAGCTGGCTCCTCAGCTGGGGGACCTGGCCCCCACTCAGCAGAAGCCCACTTTGCACCCAATTTGCACTTTAAACCCTGGATTGGGTCCCTCTGGCCTCAGAATAAGGTAACACTCCTGGTAGGTCCAATGCCTCTGCTTTCACTCCCCCCAGGTCTGCCTGGAGGATCCTCCCTGCTACAGCTGCCTGACTTCCACTCATCCTACAAGCCTGGGGTCCTCACTGGCCCAAGCTGAGTTGCTGGGGAGGGTCACAGTCCACATTCAGTTTTCCCTCTGCTTCCACAGCCTCAGAGATGGCAGGTGCAGGAATATGGCTGAGGGAATTAATTCATAAACCAGTAGGATCTGGGGAGTTAAGGGCACAGACTCCAGTCTGAGAGGCCCAGTTCTAGTCCCACCACCGTCTCTGCCAGGCTCTGACTCTGGGTCACATCAAATGGCTGTAATCACAGCCCACCTTCAGGAGCTAGGCGAGGGGCCCCTGGGAGACAATGCAGCCTTGGGTAGCCTTCGTTCTTGCCCCAGCCCCACAGCCTGGCGGTGAGGGGACCAGCCCAACTCTGTTCCTCACTCTTCAACTGCCACCCCCATCCCCAGGAGCCAGCTTTCTTCAGATTTCAGTTTTCCCACCTGTGAAAAGGAAGGAAGTACGGTGTCCTCCGACAGAAACGGGCCAGAGGGCAGTAAGGGAGGGTGTGCAAAGGGAGAAAACTGGGGCTCAGGGCCCCTCAGCTCAGTCCCCTCCTCCGGGGCCTGCCAGCTCTGGCCACTCTCCCCACCCGCTGACCTAGCTGCTGTTTACTCCTACACTGTCACCAGAATAGCCAGAGAACCTCAGGCCAAAGGAGGCTCCGCACTCCTTTATCCAGATTGGTCAGGTCCTGGCTCCACCCCCCCGCCCCGCCCACTTGCCGTGGGGTACCCACCCCGCCTCACCAAGCCCGGCCTCAGGTTTCGGCAAGGCCAGCCCCTCACAGCCAGTATAGGAAACCTCTGAATCTGGCCCAGTCTAGGCCAAGCAGTACAGACCAGAACTATAGAGGATTAAATATCATACTTATTACAACAGTCACCAATATCATAACTCATCTGAGGAATTACTGAGAACAAGACATTCTCCTGGCAAACCTGGAAATCTCTTGTAACTTGGCTGTTTTGTTTGTTTGTTTGTGTGGTTTTTGGCTGGGGCTGGGTTTGAACCCGCCACCTCCGGCATATGGGGCCAGCGCCCTACTCCTTTGAGCCACAGGTGCTGCCCCATCTCTTGTAACTTGGAAGGCAAGCCACCAAGTAACTCAGTAATCCTGGAGGAGCAAAGTTCAATCCTGTAGTAGCAAGGATATTGTTAAACATTAAGCATTTTAGGACAGTTCCTTAAAGGATTAGTGAAGAAAAATTGCATTTAGTATTTTAGAGATCATTTCCTTGAGTATATACTTTCTTGGCACCTATGGGATCATTTCCCCAAGCACACAGCCCCTGCATGTCTTTATGTCTTTGCTTAGTAATCTTTTCGCCTATTATGCATCTTCTCTTTTTTTTTGAGACAGAGCCTCAAGCTGTCACTCTGGGCAGAGTGCTGTGGCATCACAGCTCACAGCAACCTCCAACTCCTGGGCTCAAGCGAGTCTCCTGCCTCTGCCTCCCAAGTAGCTGGGACCACAGGCGCCCACCACAATACCCAGCTATTTTTTGGTTGCAGTCATGATTGTTATTTGGTGGGCCCAGGCTGGATTTAAACCCGCCAATTCAGGTGTGAGCCAGAACGCTTGAGCCAGAGGTGCTGAGCCTATGTATCTTCTCAATAAGAGGACTCTGCAAGAAGTGCTCAATGCTATCTTTCACCTATGGTTAGCCTCACCTCTTGCAGCATGTACTGTCAATCCATGTGTCGCATGATCATTTATGCGGTCAACACACAGAACACTGAGGCTGTACCGCTGGGCCTCAGTAGGTCAAAAGGAAGGAGGGGAAGAGTGGCTTGTCCTTGAACTCAAAGATTATCAGGGCAAAGATCATCATCAGCCTTGCCACCTCTGGAATTCAAGGCCTGACCAGGACAGCTGCTTCTGTCTCATTATGTTTTACTACCCTTTCTTGCCGAGGCCCCATGCTCCAGAAACACTAGAGCACTCCAGTTCCCAGTCCACCCCTCACTTTCCCACCTTTGCCTGAGCAGTGCCCTCAGCCAGGACCACCGTCGCCCTGGCCAGCCCCGTCACAATCCTGCTCTGAGAAGGCCATGGTCAGTACAGCATGTCAGGTGCCAGTGCGAATCCCGGTTCCACCACTTACTGGCTGGATGGCCTTGAGCAAGCCATGTGACCTCTCTGAGCCTCAGTTTCCTCATCTGTGAAATAGGAATAATAAAAGCAGGTAACTCACAGGGTCGTTGGAAAGATCCAAGTAGATGTGGCAAGGGACACACAGGCCTTGAAAATGCTGTCAATGCCAACAGCTGTTAGTCTGGTGGTTGGTTACTCATTGTTCTAAGGTGAACTACCTGCCCCACCCTATGGCACCCCACCCCCTCATCACTTCAACCCAGGAAAGAATGCAGGAGCATGCTAAGCATAGACCACTCCCTGAATCCTCCTGGCAACTCCTGCTAGGTGCTCTTATTCCCCATTTCACAGATAAGAAGACAGATTCAGAGAGGGCAAGTGCCTTGCAGGGCCACTCAGAGTCCATGTGGGGAGCCTTGTTTACAGGGAGCACAGCCCAGGGCTGAGTCTGACACTCCCTGGAAGATCCCCCTCAGCTGGAGAGGCCAGAGGCCACCGTGTGTGCTCAGCAGCTGGCCAGGCACTAGCAGCAGGGAGCAGGCCTGTTAAAGCGGGTTTTCTCAGGCTGGGGAGGCAGCAGCCCAGGAGCATGGGCTCAAACCCCAGGGCATGGACTCAAGTAGGAGGGCTGAGCTGGAGCTGAGGGTGGGGGCCACACCCTGCCCTGTGTTTGGGGGCTTCCCTTCTTCCAACCCTGGGAGTCCTCCCTCAAGGTCCAGAGGCCCCCACAAGCCTGCGTGGGAAGAGGGCTTAATGGAGAAGGGACAGGGGGGTCCTAATAGTAGGATGATGGGGGCGCCAAGTCCGTGGAGTCAACCAGGGAGCTCATCATGCACCCCCCTTGCGCCTACACCCTCCCCAACTCCTGCACTCCGGGGATCCGGAGCCCCAACCCCAGCTGAGAAGAGATGACAGGCAGGACCGAAGCTGGGTCCCCAGATCTAACTGGGTAGTCAGCCACAGAAGGCCCAGAGAACCTCGCAACAGCCTTTGGACGTAAGGACGGGGAACTCAGGGTGCGGTTACCCTGGAGAAGTGGGTTTAGGGGAACCCCCGGCCCCGGCATCAATCCCGATCCACAGCTGTCCACGATCCTCCTCCCCTCCACCCCAGGCACAGGCAGCGCTCCTCCTGTCCCCACCTTGCGCGGGATCCGCTCACCTCCGCCGGGGAGCGCCCGGCCCCCCGCGGCCCCCTCACCCCCCTCACATGGCGCCGGGAGCCGAGAGCTGGGGTCCGCTCTCCCCAGGCCGCCAGGCCCAGCCGCAGCCCAGGCCCGCCGGGTCCTAGCGCCGCCGCTCGCTCACAGCCTGGTCCAGGCCTAGGAGGCGGGCGGGGCCTCCGGGGCTGCGGTGGCTCCGCCCCCGGGCGGTGCCCCCAGGGGTCCCACCGCCAGTTAGCGTAACAGTTTACCCACTGAGCGGCCCGTATTGACCACAAAAATATGACAGACTTTGGGAGCTTTTTAGGGTGAGCCAAGCCACTTCTATCTCGTTTTATTGTCACCATGACCTGGATGGGGAAATTGAATCTGAGAGCACACTGGGTCTGGACTCAGTTGAGTTTCTCCCTAGGCTTTCAGCCCAGAGCCTTGCACCCAATAGTCACCCTGAGTGAAGGCAGGCGACTACTGATGAACCGGGAAGTACCAACTGTCAGCAGACTGACCATTAAGAAATACCAGGTGGGCTCGGCGCCTATAGCTCAACCGGCTAAGGCGCCAGCCACGTACACCTAAGGTGGCGGGTTCGAATCCCCAGCCCGGACCCGCCAAACAACAATGACGGCTGCAACCAAAAAATAGCCGGGCGTTGTGGCGGGCGCCTGTGGTCCCAGCTACTTGGGAGGCTGAGGCAGGAGACTCGCTTGAGCCCAGGAGTTGGAGGTTGCTGTGAGCTGTAATGCCACGGCACTCTGCCCAGGGGGACAGCTTGAGGCTCTGTCTCAAAAAAAAAAAAAAAAAAGAAATACCAGGTGGAGGAAATACTAAAACAAAGATGTATGACTAACCGCAAATTTCTGCCTCTATACAATGCTTGCTAACCTACCCCAATGCACCTGGGCAGCTTGCGTGCCTACCAGGATGTAGACCAACCCTTAAAATCCAAGGCCAGCTGTGTGCTGAATTAGTTGAGGGGCGTTGGCACACCACTTCTCTCCCTACCTCTGGAAAATAAGAAGAAAAACGTTTCAGGGTTATAAGGATTTTTTTTTTTTTTTTTTTGCAGTTTTTGGCCTGGGCCAGGCTTGAACCCACCACCTCTGGTATATGGGGCTGGTGCCCTATTCTTTTGAGCCACAGGCGCCACTCCAGGGTTATAAGGATTTAAAATGTTCCTTCTTACAATTATCAGAGTATCCATGACATCATTTTATGTGACTGGGAAAAATAACTGAAGCAGCCATCGCAGGGCTGGGGTGGGAGGTACTGGATACTGGTTAAATAAACAAGGGCACAGCCTGCCAGAGTGCACTGGGAGTGTAATGCCCTGGAGTCTCTCAAAGACCATACTGCCAGACAAATCAAATTTAAAGAGGAGTCCTTTTATTGAAGAGCCAGCTGGTGACTGCCTCAGTGTCCCAACATGGGGTTTGAGAGCTTCCCTGAGTGCTTAAGGGGTCGGGAGACTTATAAAATGAAGGCTTCAGACCAATATGCCCTAAATGGAAAGGATGGCCAGGATATTTACAGGACATTTAAGTAAAGAAAGCAAGTTAAAGAGCTGCATCTTGTATAATCACTTTGGAAAACAAAGTTGTAAACATTTACACACCATACCTGGGTATATATGGAGGAGACGCCAACATCCGAGCAAGATGATCTGCAGCTGAGGCGTGGACCTCGGACCATTCCTCCTCAGGAGTTCCTTGTGGAAGGAGAGCTTGTGCCCTCAGCACGTAGTCATTGTTAATTACTCCCCTCACCTGTGTTGTTCTGGCTCAATAAAAGGCTGGTGCTGAGGTTGCTCGGGCCAGAAGGTAAGGGCTAGCCTGCCTTCTACAAGCTTGTACTTCTAATCCGCCTCTCGCCTGGTTCCTTCCTGCGCTAACCGAGACCAGGGCCATAGGAGCCGAACGGCGACATTTTGGCGTACAGCAGGATATAGCAGAACACCAGGGACGTGGACCAAAGGAGACGACACCCGGATGTAGGTGAGGCCTTTGGTAGATAGTGGAAAGAAGTCCAAAGGGAAACTCTGCTCAGGGAAAGTGGGACCTTTGGCCAATTTAAAAGAAGATAAGGGGAAGTCCAAAGGGAAACTCTGCTCAGGGAAAGTGGGACCTTTGGCCAATGTAGAAATTAAGAAACCGCGCTCAGTATAAGTAAGGTGTCTGATAAAATAAGCAAAGACACGGGTAACTTTCTGTTTGGGAAGTCGCGGAAAATAGAAACTGAGGAAGAAAGCGATGTTCAATCAGTATCTGAAAGCGAGGATAGTGAGGTTCAGTGGGAAACTGGACCTAAGAAAAATTGGGAAGCGAGAGCATATGATATGAATGAGCAAGTGATCACCGCTATGACCACTATGGCTGAACAAATTAAACGATTGGGAGATCAGATAGATAGTCTCATTGTCAGAAATGCTAACTCAGAGTACCCCATTTTGCCCTCAGCACCTCCCTATGTAAATGAACCGCCTGTGACTTCTGTTATGCAGGCTGTATTAAAAGGGCATAATACTGGTGACTTTGAGTAGGAAAACACTTTGGGGCTTTTTCCAGTTATGGTCGCTGATATTCCTCCTGATCCACAACACCCTCAAGGGGGCCAGCATTTTGACCACCATATGATGACCTTTTCAGTTCTTAAAGATTTGAAACAGGCCGTAGCACAATACAGTATGCAGTCCCCATTTTCCAGAGGTCTGTTACAGGGGCTTTCACAAGAACAGTGGCTCATTCCCTATGACTGGGATATGATAGCCAGAACTGTTCTTGAATCTGGACAGTATTTACAGTTTAAAACCTGATGGAAGGAGGAGGCTGACCTAATGAGTCGCCAGAACCAACAGAGAGGCATCCCAACAACATCTGAACAGCTCACTGGATCTAGGCAGTGACTGGGGATTCCCAATCCGCTTCAATACAGTGACATGGCTGTAGTCTAGACAAAACTGTATTGTCTTAGGGCCTGGGAAAAGGTTCAGGCTCCTGGAGATGTGTCTAAATCTTTCATTAAAATAATGCAGTCGGGAAATGAACCTTATACTGAATTTCTAGCCCGACTAAAAACTGCAGTCGATAAGGCTGTTGCCCAACCAAAGCTAAAAGACATGCTTTTCCGAACTTTAGCGTTTGAAAATTCTAACTCGAAGTGTCAAAAGGCCCTGCGACCTTTAAGAGCACAAAACGCTCCCTTAGAGGAGTATATACAGGCATGTGCTGACATAGGAACGGAATCCTCTAAGGCTAATTTACTGGCTACCGCTTTAAAAGGAAGGGGTCAGTTCATTTCCTCCCCTTCAATAATATTCCTAGGTTTCTGCTCACTAAAGCTCTTTTCACTCTTAATTTTCTCAATCTCAGCAATGATGAAAAGACAGCTGCAGAACGCCATTGGACATCTCTCATTCATGCACCATCCTCTCCAGTACAACAACCTATCTTTTATAAAAAACCTGATATGACAGAGTGGAAGTCTGGTTATGTGCTGCAACAGGGTCGAGGCTTTGCCCATATTACAGAACATCAAGAAAAGCAGTGGCTACCAGCCCACTGGATTAAGCCACGACACGAGCAGGAACGTTTACCAGCACCTTAAACAAGTTTATTTTCACTAACCTTTCTTCTACAGGACCTTAGCTTAGGCAATTTCATAGTGGAGAAATCCTGGATCAATTTCCTCTGCGGGAACTCAAGCTGCCTCTCCCAGGTCGCCGCCCAGTCTCAGCAGGAAGCAGTTAAGAGCGATCAGCGCCCCTTTTCCCTAAAGAGGCAGCAGGAGCTTCTATGCAGAATGGGAGGATTGATATAGGATTTCATTATTTTAGGCTGCGTATTAAGCCTCAGGCAAGCTTAGGATACATCATCTAAACCTTGGAAAATTAGGACAACAAAGACCTAAAACAACAGGTAAAGGTTATTCTGGTATCGACAAGGTAAGAGAATTTCACTTGTTGGGTTCGTTTCTATTTCAGTTGGGCACCTGATCTTTCTTAAAGTTATATTGCTTTTCAGGAAGGGTCTGAGTTTGCAGCCCTTTCTCTACCTAAGCTTTGGGCAATGCTTAATACTTCCCATGGAAGCTTCATGAGCCCTATGGGTCAGCCCATAGCACATAGTTGAGTGGTGATTAGCACATAGGGGACAAGATTTCCCCCATGCCTAGTTTGTCTAAAATAAGTTTCTTTTATATCTGAAGTAGCTCTGATGATGTATTTTTGTTATACTTATGTGCCCTTTTATTTCTTTTACTCAACAGAAAGCTTCTCGGTAAAGAGAACGGCAGAAACAACAGACCTTCTCCCTTGCCTCTTCAGAAATGTCTTTAATACACTAGAGGGGGGAAATGTAGGAGACGCCAACATCCGAGCAAGATGATCTGCAGCTGAGGCGTGGACCTCGGGCCATTCCTCCTCAGGAGTTCCTTGTGGAAGGAGAGCTCGTGCCCTCAGCACGTAGTCATTGTTAATTACTCCCCTCACCTGTGTTGTTCTGGCTCAATAAAAGGCTGGTGCTGAGGTTGCTCGGGCCAGAAGGTAGCCTGCTTTCTACAAGCTTGTACTTCTAATCCGCCTCTCACCTGGTTCCTTCCTGCTAACCGAGACCAGGGCCATAGGGGCCCGATGGGTGGCGACATATATGCCCTGGAGAAATTCTTGCTGTGGTATGCAACAAAGTTCATAGCAGCATTGTTTGAAATAATACAAAACTGGAAACAACCCAAATATCCATCAACAGGAGAAGAGAATTTTTTTACATTACGAAACATTTAGACTGTGGAATAATGGATAGCAGGGGAAAATGAATGGGCTATAGTCATAGGGGTGAATCTAAGACACAAGAGGAGAGAAAAAGACAAGTCTGGGAAGAGGAATAAAACTACACAAGATATTGGTTCCACATATAGCAGGCAGTAGCCCACCTCTCACAGCCAGGGACAGAAGACAGCTCTTGCCCATCATAATGATTACAGTCTTTGTTGACTTTGGATTTTAAAACTTTAAAGAACCAACTGCCAGCCATGTGTAATCTAGATTTAAGACCACTAGATAAAAGAGCCCACATGGAGA